GTCCTGGAGGGACCCCATATTTCTGATCGAAGTTCAAGTGGATAATATGGCAATTCTATTAGACTTATTATTTGTGGGAGATAAATAACATTGGATTGTAAGAGTACATGGAATAATGACGTTGGATTACTTACACTGGGTAGACTATATACAAATCGCTTAAGTATTTTCTCTCTCCAATACTTGACAGCTTTTGTGTTCCAATGGGTCTTAATTTCACAAAAAAGGTCATCCCAGTCATACCAATCATCATAAATAGTCCAATCCTCTTCTCTCTGTCCATATTCTTTGGTAAATTCATCGAAGGCTTTCTCCTTCTCAGCATCTATATCCTCATCAAACATTTTGCTAATATTGTAGATCAATTATACTTAATAAAAAATAAAGTACTGTTAGCGTGCATAGCTTCTTTTCAGTATATGCGAAAATTATGTTGCACATGAGGCTGTTCTAATAGTTCTGGTAAATAAAAGATGCTTGATTGCGCCATACATAGTGCATGTTATATGTTGTATCTTTAAACGAAAAAATAAAATTAGCCAAGCCTAGTTCGCTGGTAAATTACTGCTCCGGACTAAGCCTTTCCACTATGTCATCTAATGCAAGTGCTTGTAACCCATCCAAACGAACTTTTAATATATCTTCAGGTGATAATTCTCTGAAGAATAGATTTTTAAAAAGCCATTCTGGATAGTCTTTGCTTAAATTACACTCTTTCAGTTTCGAATAATATTCCTTTACTGTATAATTGCCTTGAACTATTCTCCCAAATAAAAAATTCATTCTTTTGGACCATTCAAGATTAACCTCTCTTTCCCATATATTATTTATATTGCGGGCATTTTTTAGATCCCGTTCTGGGAGGTACTTTGAAATGGATGGTATTAGTTCAGGCGGAAGTTGTTCTAGCAAATTAACTGTATACATTTATATACGGTTAGAATATCTTTCGATCAAAAAAAGTGAAATACAATATTGGAAAGCTTTCATCCTGATCGAAGGGTCTTAACTTTCTTTGGTCGCGCCCTTCTTCGTTGCTTATGAGGGACAGCCTTTTTTTCTCTTACCTCAACCGAATCAGAATCTTCAGAAGACTCAAACGAATAGTAGGAATCCTTATGCACATCGCCTTTCAGCCCTTTTTTACTAATTAGCGAGGGAACTATTTCATGTATTAAGTCGACCACAGCTCCCCTATCTACACATTCGTTCAGATCATCCAATTCATCATCCAATTCATCTTCCAATAAATTGACCTTCCTTTTAAGCTTTACATATTTGATATGATAATCTTCCAGTCTTTTTTCTAATGCCCAAATCTGTCCAGAGAGTGCTTTATATGCTCTTGTATTCTGCTCATCCAGTCCTAATGACTGGGCTAATTTCTCTGTACGCCTGATAACTTCCTGCTCGCTGGATATATCAGATGAATACTTTTGATCAGCTACCATTTTCGTAATATATTCTATATGCTAGATCTTGCCTCGAGCGAAAAAATAAAATTAATAAATGATATCAGACTGATAAATTAGTCCTCCCGATCTTCTAACCCATATATCTGATTAGTTTTCATCAGAAATCCAGAATGGTTTTGCTTGATCATAAGGTTGTCCTCTCCTTCTGAAATTAACTATAGTATATCTATCAGATGGAGAAGCATGGTTATCAGGCGAATGTCGAAGGGCTTCACTGGCATAAGTATTGGCTTTTGACGGTGTAATAACTGAAAATATAATAAATAAATGACGCAGTAAATCCCGTGGCGCAGTAGGTCACATGATATGGTTACACAAGAAGAAATGGTTGGAAATACAAAAGTCACGTGACAAGTCACATGGCGCAGTAAGTGACGGATAAATATTTAGCCGATGGATAAATAATTAGCCAATAAAATTATATTTTAGTTTAGTATAATGAGAAAGTCATATGATAATACATCTTTTATTTCTTATTATTCTTAGAATTTTGATAGAGAAAGAGTAGTAAATAGTAGAAATGATTTTCTTAAAATGTATAAATACAAGTGGATTTCGATAGGAAATTCCGCAGTTCAATTTTTGAAAAATAAAAATTATTTCGTCCTTTAATAAAAACTAACACATTCTTTTAACCTTTTTCTTATGATGAAAAAGAGGTGTCATTTTTAATGACCTAATAATGATTTATGAATTTAGGGAAACTATCGCGAAATTAATGTTTGGGTAAGAAATTATGTTTTGTAATTTTTATAGCTAATATTTATTTTAAACCAAGCATAGATATTATACGAACTCAACACGTCGGTGGCAACATACGATATTTTATTTTAATATCCTATGGGCGGCGTGTTACAACGGATTTTTAGGCCCATGCACTACAGAAGCAAATACCGCCCCTAATTTGCGCAAGGAACTAGGAAGTAATGGCTCATAAGGTTTAGGAATATATTCATCTTTTTTCAGAAATGAACTTAAGTATATCGATCTAGGCTTTCTGGGGTCTCTTAACTGTCCGGAAGAAACTGCTTCCTGAATCCATGTAAGTAATTCTCTTGCTCGCTCCTCATTTTTTTCCAGTGATCTAAACACCCGAGGAACATCCTGTTAGCCTCGGTTTTTTGCGTATCCAGTTACACCTCCATTTGCTATGCGCAAGTTTTTAATTTCAGCAGGGCGGATACAGAGCATGATCATTACATCAGCTAGGGCCTGTTTATCGGGTGTGTTAGACACAACATATAAATCTAGCCGTTCCTTAACTGATTCTAACGAGAAGTGGTCCGGATAATGAAGTCCTTCATTTTTACGTTGCTCAGTACGCTCCTGTTGGATTTTATTAGATGCTCTGGTTATCTCCGGAATCTTGGTAGCAGAGATTATTTTTTCTGGAGCATTGAGGGTTCGCAATTCTCTTCGAAGCCTGGAGAGACGTGATGAGGCAACGATAGGATCGGAGGCGGTTTCAGCTAAAGTTATAGATATCGCTTTTACATTTCTTTCACTAAGATTATCCCGAACAATACGTTGAGCCATTTCTCTAATAGTCTCGCCTTCTGGGGCGTTCTCAGATACTAGGCTTATATTCACTTCGGCTTCTAATCCTAGTTCCTCTAGGAACGGTACTTGACTTATGTACCGCTCGATTCTCTGGTCAGGAATCAATGCGAATGCCTGTCCTTTGCTAAATTTATACCCTTTTTGAAGACGATTACGAGCCTGGCGTCTTTTCTCTCTATTATCTCCCAAGAGGTCACGCATTTCTGGCGCATACTGACTGAGCTCTTCGATACTCATCTCATTGGTGAATTGGTGGTCTGTAATGAACTTAGTTGTAATTGCGGACATTATGTGGTATGTAGTTTATATGTAGTAGTTAGATAATCTGTGGTATTCAGATTATATTATGTGGGAAAAGTTCAATTCGAAAATATTCCGTAATTTCACTACCCCATGGTCGGTAAAAACTATCGAAGGGTTAGAGAAAGGGAAAAAAATATATAACTTTTGGGAGGTCTCTTTGAGCCACCTGCTCCGGCCGAGATATGTTTTATATATATTTGAAAATTGCGGGTAGATAGGATATGCGAAAAAAATACATAGTCATGGAACCCCCATTCCAAGGCTATGAACGAATTGTCTGTATCGATTCACATTTTAGTAAAGTGCACGCGCTAGAGC